GGGGGGGTCCATACAGGTGAGGGGCTGGGTTAGCGTGGAGCTACAGCTACAAGCTAGCTTATGGCTTGTAGCTGTTGCATCAGGTTAGCATGGCGCTACAGCTACAAGCTAACTTTAGGCTTGTAGCTGTAGCTTCAGGTTAGCATGGCGCTACAGTTACAAGCTAACTTTAGGCTTGTAGCTGTATTATCAGGTTAGCATGATGCCATCTTTTAGCTCATGTTTGATGTGTGGAACCTTGTCTGGCTTTGGGCCTTTAACTAAAAGTATCTGAGGGACAGTCTTAGTTTTATTAAAACATGCTGCAGTCAGCTCTAACTGCCATGATTGACAGCTGTCAGTCTTTGTGGTGTTTAATGACCCTGATTTCAGTTTTCATGTTTGAATAAATAAAGAACACAATTAATTAGCTTTGTAATCAAAAGGGAAGTTTTAACATTTGTTGCCTAAAGACAGTCACATGTTGCTCAGTAATAACTATATTATATGTTGGTATGGTTTTTATTATGTCATATATTTATCTGACAGTCTGGTGTTTTATTAAACATGTAAAGTGTTATAATGATGAACTTTAGTGGTTTTAACTCCGTATTTCCTCCAGTTATCATCTTGTCTTTGTTCTCAGCCTTCAGTAACAAACAGTTGGACAGAAAACAGATTTAAGCTTCAGGGTTTAGTTTTGTCTGTTAAAATAATGAAATAATGAAGTGAACAGATGGAGGGGAGTCTGATCAGAATCTGAAAGTCCYGTCTTTAAGAACCAGAACCAGGAGGATTCACCGTGAAAACATCTTTGTTCCACCAACACTAATCAAACCCGTGTTGTTCCTTATTTCTGTTTAACTTCCTCCACATGACGTCTCGAAACTGCAGCAGATTGTTTTCACCTCACGTCATTTTAGCTGTTTCACCAGGAAACCTCAGCTCTTTAAAAATAACACAAGCTGTAAAATTAACATTACTACCATGAATAAAATTAGCAYTGGCAGTTAGCTTTAGCCTTAACAGTGTTAGCATTACACTGTTGGCAGTACCATGTAATCTGCAGTAGTAATATTAGAAATAAGGAGTGAATTATAAAACAACTAATGCATATTCTAACCTTAGAATGAGTAGAATTAGCATTAGCAGTACTAGCATAATTAGCATTAACAGAATTACTATTAATTGAACTGCATTAACAGTGGTAGTATTAGCAGAAGCATTTATTAGCATTAGTTGAGTTATCTTAAATGAAATTAGCWTTACTAGCACTAGTGGAACTAACAYGAGTAGATTTAGTATGAGCAGTAGTAGAATTAGCWTTAGCAGTGTTAGCATTACTGGCATTAGCTTTATGATCATGGAAATTAGCATTAACARAAGTAGAATTATCTTGAMTAATATTAGCATAGCAAGCATTAATGAAGTTAGCATGAGTAGACTTAGTATGAGCAGTAGTAGAATTAGCTTTAGCRATGTTAGCATTACTGGCATTAGCTTGAACAGTATAGAAATTAGCCTCTCATACAGAAATCCATTAGACTTGTTGAAATCAGCAGAACTAGCTTCAGAAGAATGATGAATATCAGTAAAAACTTCTGATCAGCTGTAGATWAAGATTCGACTGCAGGTTTTAGTTTTTTATTTCCCCTCTCTGTCTTCAGGAGAGAAACCGTTCAGCTGCAGCAACTGTGATAAATGTTTTGCTCAGAAGTGTCAGCTGGTCGCTCACCGCCGGATGCACCACGGAGAGGAGAAACCCTACACCTGTGATCGCTGCGGGTTCAAGTTCGCCACATCGTCCAAYTACAAAATACACGTCAGGCAGGTCAACGTCTCGGAGCCCCTCCCCCGAGACCTTTAAACTTTTTTCTGACGGTTCTTCTGTTCTCTTCTTTCAGACTCCACAGCGGAGAAAAACCCTACGTCTGTGACATCTGCGGGCAGGCCTTCGCTCAGTCCAGCACCCTGACCTACCACAAGAGGCGGCACACCGGAGAGAAACCGTACCAGTGCGACCTGTGCGGCATGTCGTTCTCCGTGTCCTCGTCGCTCATCGCACACGCCAGGAAACACACGGGTAAAACGGGATTTTATGATCCTTTAAAAAAGACCTGAAGAGGTGATGGGATCGTGGTGACATCTTTGTTCTGTGTTTCAGGCGAGACTCCGTACAAATGTCAACAATTAAAATGTGACGCTAAATTTGTGACGTCGTCTGAGCTGAAGAAGCACATGAGGCGGCTCCACCCAGGTGAGGTTTTCTTCATTTCATAAATAATCTGAGTGGTGTTGTTCTGCAGCTTTCTGATGTTTTAATCCTCTTTGCTCAGACGGAAACTCGGGCGTTCAGTGTCTGCTGTGTGGAAACCGATTCGCCAGYGTGAAGAACATGATCAAACATCAGGAGAAGGCTCACGCCGACGAAGTGCGACAACACAAGGAGAGAGCCCGCGCCGGTCAGCTGCCATGATCTGATGTGCCTTTAAATGAGCTGAAGGCAGATTAAATGTTTAATCTCTGACCTTTGACCCCTGTGTCTCTCTGCAGTCGTGCTCCTGGCCTCCAGCCACCCCGTCACCTTCGTTCACAATAAAATCTCGCACGACAACAAAAGTTTGCCTTCCGTCCCTGAAGGAGGGCCGCCCAACCCCGAACCGTCGACCCCCGACCCCAAAGCCCCGGCGTCCTCCGTCATTGACGACACAACCGCCAACGAGCAGGCTGTGGATGAAGCTGACGTCGCCGTCATGCAGGAGTTAAAGGCGGAGCCCTCCCACCTGCCGCTGACCACGGCCGAMCCCGTGAGCTTTGAGCCCGATCAGGAGCAGACCATCACCTCGGACACGCTGCACGCCCTGGTGGAGCAGCTGAGGCCGGCCGCGTCGCCCGCCTCCAGCCTGGAGCAGATCGTCATCATCAGGACGGTGGACACCGCCCAGAGCCCCGCCCCTCAGCAGTGAAGGGGGCGGGGCCACGGGGTCGCCGCTGTCAGGTTCTGTAAATAAAAACTGTAAAAAGCCTGAAGTTCAGCCGGAGTTCATCAGAACGTGGAGCCAGTTTTTATTRATCTGTTGGTTGTGTCGTTTAAAATAAAACTCAAATAATCAGATTATTTTTAAATTTAGTAACGACCAAAATGTTCATCAAACCCTTGATTTTACAAACATCCTGTTTCTGCACCAAACATCCTGACAATTTAGATTAACTTTACGTTTATTT